GGAGTGTAGCAATAATCAACTCTGGGAAGAATAGAAGATCAGTTGTCTCCCTAACCCATACAGCTTGGAGAGCTAATACACAGACACCATTGAATGAATGTTCTCATGTTGCGCCGACAAACAAGAGCAATATCTGGTGTTCCTTAAGATTCTGTCTCGTGTTTCCTTCTTTGTGAGGTGAGTGAACACCGCCTCACAACGCAAAACAAGGATCCCCAGAAACAACAGAAAGAAACACACCGTTTAAGTACAGATGATGATAAATAAACAGGAAAAGATTGAAAGAAAAATAAAGCCAAGGACATTCAGGCACATTTAGGAATATGAAATTAGAGAAAGGCTTATTTGAAACAGGCAGTCAGTTTTATAAAAAAACTTAAGTCCAAAAATTGACTTAAGTCAGAAGTTTTTTTATAAAACTGACTCTCTGTTTATATACTTCTGAACATAAGAAAATCAGACAGATCGTATGGCAGGAATTAAGAAAGAACTTCAGGTAAGATTATCTTTTCCAAGTGGACGATCTAAAGTTGTCTACTGGGCGCGTGAAAAGCAAAAATTTTCATGCGATAAAAAAAAGATCTGTGATGAGGAAAGAAATCTGAAAGAAGGCTATGCAGTAGATAAATCCTCGGTCTAAAAGCAACTTTTGCGTGGAAGAACAGAGTCCTAAAAGTTATCAACATCATAAGATCATTAAACGGAAGCGTTCCAACCAGAGATGCTAAATACTTACGATACCAGAATATTATCTGTTTCTTCCTATTATCATAAAATGATTGGTTGACGTATTGACATCTATCTGTTCATTCTGCCGTCTCATTGAATTGCGATGTATCACTTTACGTTAGCGACGCAGTTGTGTTAAAGAACACGATGACTATTAATTGTTTTGTATGATCTAACTCAACTTTCATCTTAATGAAGAACGCTAGAGGAAAGGTCAAACACGTAAGTGAGAAATACATTCGATTATCCATTTGAGCGAACGTGGAAAGTTAAAAAGTTTTTTTAGTTCGGTCTTGTACACTTGCATAATTGACGACTATAATTCATTTTTCCCCATTTCATCGATTTTTTAATACTTGCACAAGTGAAAACTGCGCATACTTGCACATCCAAATAAAACTTGTCTACAAATTTCTGCAACAGATTCTCCAATCTGTAAATGACATGAACGAGTAAGCATGGTTTCCTTCCACACATTGGACTCTAGTTTTCTCGATGTCAGAATGATGTTAGGAACGTATTCTACCACTTAGATTTCCAAAATTCCACCATGGTAACTGGAGTCCCCTTCAAGATTTAGGGAAAAACTGTTTTCGCAAATCTTGACGAAACGACATAGACTAGATGCGATTTTCGACGCAGATCACGAATATCACATTTAAAATGCGGAAAAATAACGTATAAATAAGAAAATCATTTTTTACTGCAAGGTGGGCTTGAGGCGGTCTTTAGCCTATCATCACTATCAGAACGCGGTCTAAAATTTGAGCTTTTGAGGGATTTTAATGGTTCTAATAACTACATGACTTTACATTAGTTTTCCATAAAGGTTTGAGCACATATTCAATGTTTATGAACTGAATATGATTATTTCGAGCTTCGTTTTTGTGAAGAAAAATTAGAGCTGTCGGCTGAGGTTTCATTTAGAAACCATCATGAATCTTCCTTGACCATTTATACATGAGCAAGGGGATCGCACTAGTTTCTTATTAACGCTGATGAGACATAGTTTATATGAGATCAGAACAAAAAGTTTATTCAAACCGAAACGAGAAAGTAAAAGAAATAAAAGTGCTAAAATTGATTAAACAAAGTAAAATAGAAAACCGAAAGATTTTGAATCAGAGACTATAAGCTGACCCTTTTTAGATTTTTAGATCAGTTTTGAATTTCTTTGTAGTTTTTGAGTCCTGCGCTATTTGCTAGGATTAGTTGCTCAAGCTGGTCGTAGAGGAAATACTGCGGTAGATGGTCATAGGATTCGAGAAACCGAAAGAAGCCTGAAATGGAATATAATCATCTTCAGATGTGTGCTTAAACCTTTGTGCAAAACTAATGTAAAGCCATGTAATTATGGTAAAATGATTAAAAATTGTACGTTGAATAGAAAACTAATGGAAAGTTCTGATGGACAGATCTGACGCATATATTCGCAGAATCTCACGAGTTCTGTGCGTTGCCTGGAAAGAATTTTGTTACAATTTGTAACAGATCTATAGCGAATTTTTGACAGATTCCGAGCAGACGTGCCGTAGATTTCATCAAAATGTGCATCTCTGTTGCCGATTTTTGACAGATTCTGTGAAAGAGATTGCTAATTCTTAGAAAAACTTTTCTTGAGGCAGTTGGGATACTAACTCCACCTGGTTTTACCCAGTTTTTTCCTCGGGTAACATGATGCAATTAATTCACTCATTTTCAGCACAGTTAAAGCTTGAGCTCAAAACCAGCACACAGCAATTTTATAGTTTGTGTATAGAACCTATACTGAGGGGAAAGTCTTTGGATCTGATACATTCTACGTGACAGAAGTTCTCTCCCATAAAACTGTGTTCTGAGATCGAAAACCGGTTAAAAGCAACTAAATAGTTCAACTTTGTGACAATAAAGTTTATATCTCTTAATTTTCTCGCTCTGTCTGAAATTGCTTTGTACTAATCACGATCTTAAGAATTTTAATAATTAGGAAAATAATTAAAGAGTAATACTCTGTATATAACTCTTGCGTATCTGTATGCTAGAAGAGATACTTTAAGACGTACTAGTACACTACCCGTGCGCTGCGACGGCTATCGCTTCTCTGTTATAGTAAATATTCTTTCTTGTCCTGTGACCAATGGCGGATCAATCTGATTAAGAATCCGTTTACAGATCTTCGCTAGGTGCTCCAGAAGCTGAGATCATGAGGTTCATAGCTCAAGCGTCACACAAATCTCAAATTTTTTAATAATATGGATTCTATATATATATATATATATATATATTCTATTCTGTTTTATACGCGTATCTAAGCAACGTTTATTGCCCCTTCCTTTCAGCATAGATATTTATACTGTGTATATATGTTATAGAGAATATAGGCACATATGCAATAGTATTGCACTTTTAAGTTCGTAACGCAACGTGAAGAACTTTTACTATCATTTTTTACACTTTATATTTGCTTTTTCCTATTTCTTTCAAAGTAGATATACACCAAAAAGGTACTGCGACTCTCAGCATAACAGCAGTTTTAACGAGGAAGTTGAGGAATGTAGAATTTCTTTTCCCTCACAACTGTTTGGGTATTACTAAAAGACGCGAACATCCAAGAGAAAGGGTAAGAATACCCAAAAAGGTGTGCCAAATTCATCTCCAGATTCAGTATCAGACAGTTTTCCTTGGACAAGCAGAATAAAAGAATCCAATAACTTTTTCAAAAAAAAATGTTTTTGAAATATTTTTTGATGAAACAGTATTATCGTTGTTACAGACTTCAGTGCGCATTGAGGAAGAAGATTTTGATCTTATCGGTTTGGTAATTCACTAATCTCATCTTCTTGTGATGAGAACATTCGATAAGCACACAGCAGACGCTTTCAATGTACAATTATTTAGACTCTTGATCCACAAATTCTGTTTCTCAAACTGATAATCTCAGTTTTGGAAAAAACCAAATCGATGCAGCAAAACAATTAAAAGTCGGAAGAAATCAAGAAAAAATCTTAAAAATGAGCTCCTGAAATCAGGAGAATTTTCTAGAAGTCTAAAAATCAGGAGATTTGGGCACTCTGACCGCAATCGAAATCATGGCTCCTACCTAATCATTGTGAAAATTGTGTAAAAGTAAAAACTAAAGGAAAGGAACGAGAAAGTGCCAACCCTAGTTCTACATGAAGAGAAGGCATTCACACCAAGACAATTTATAGTCTTCAATTACAATGTGATTTTTCTTTTCTCGTTTAAATATCGCGTTGTCATCGACTATTGGAATCGAGTGCCATCTATCATAGGAAAGTATTACAAAAACTAACAGTAAAAGCAATTTAACAACTAAATTTATGTCTAATCTTCAAATTAGAAGCATTTAACTACATGAAATTCAGGAGTGTAAAATGCTGACCATTTGCTAAGTTACCCAAATGTGAATAATTTGTTTATGGTTTCTTTTATGATGTGTATCGCCGAGTTAGCGCTAAGCCGTAGATACCTTAAATTTCTTAATTGGAATATTTCTACAATTCTTCACGCAATTGAGAGTTTCGTTCTTCGTTATATAAGAAAAGCCAGGAGATAAATATGAAAAACCTGAAGTATCACACGTTGATAACGCATTTTCTTTAGGCGCGATTTTCCATCCAAGTTTTACGAAGGTTTTCTGACCATATAAATACGAGTTTGAATAAAAGTTCTATTTTGATTTCTTGAATAAGACACTGAGTGAGATAATACTATGTAATAACTTGGAATTTAAATTCACTATTGTACAGCGTTTATAATGAGAGTTTGTCACTGGCTTTATCTTTGTACAGTTTATTTTGCCTTGCAGCCTGCACAAAGTATACATATCCTTGAAATCCGCGTAGAAATCACGCATGAGAGTTTCAAAGGTCTATTCATATGAAAGTTTTTTCAAATAAGAACAGCATGCATAGAAAAAAAAATCGTTTTTGTACAGCAGTTTTCACTAGCTGTCTGTTCATTGCATGCTAAGCGATTTGAAATAAAACACGAATTTTTAAAAAAGATCCTACGTCATTTATTTACAATTATCTGTTTCTCTCCTAGTGATTTTCTCTTCTTAGCTCCTCAACTTTTCCCACATTAATAGCAAAGACTTTCTGAAATAACAAGATGTAAATCTAAATCTCAAATTGTACCTACAATTTGCAATTAGACATCCTCCTCTTGCACACTGAATTAATGAGTGATGCGTATTTTTAGATTCGATTGTGTTTTTGCTACTAAATTCGTATCTACTACTCACGGTACAAAAGGTACACTGATTTAAAATGCCGTTAAAAGTTGACAAGAAAGTGGTAGGTAAATAATTTTAAGAGTATTGAACATCTGTGAAGAATGAAAAATTATTTGTAGATCCAACCAATAATTGGTGGGGTTGGCGGTGGACAGCGACGTGTAAGCCAACTTCCACGAGGATCGATAGCTGCTTTCAGGGTTTGTTTAATAGTTTTTATTATTTTCTTCTAAACAACCAATTATTGATTTTGTACGCTTTAGGAAGATGGTGATCCAGATTATCTACCTGACTTTCCATCGGATGATATAAGACCTGTCCGACCAGACGATCAAATGAAACTGACAGATGCTGTAATGATTCGTTAGAATATTTTTTGTTTAAATAATAACTTAGCAAACATTGTGTTTCTCCTAGGAATTAAATGAAGAACATACTCGTATATTAACAGCTCGCAATCCTCAAGCAGCCGAAAATATCGTTCGATTTAGTCATAAAGTACGCATATGGCAGCAACAAAAACTGTCAGTTGTTGGAAAAACTCTATTGTTTTCTAGGAGCGAATGTACAAACCAATAGCTCAAGTTGATCAGTTAGCGGTTCATTACCAGTTAGATGGCAATTTAATTCATAAAGATTCTGAAGAAGCAAAGCGACAAATGGCCAGAGATGGAGGAGGTAAAGGAAGATTTCTGTAGGTCGAAAGCAAAGTTTGAGACGTAGATTTTAATATTACACCTAAAACGAATATTTTGTCAGACAAAGGAGATTGATCTAAATGCATCATTCACTTTCAGCTAAACGACAGGTTACTCTTGGTATGTATGTAGTCATGTTGCTATTGTATTTGGCGATCATTTTCATGTTTTTGGATTTGTTTTGAATCATTAGAAAAATACGTCTTCGCTGTCCGCTATTTTAGTATTTTTGAAACTTCCATATGCTAATTTATATTCTAAATCAATGTTTATATTGATTTTGTAGACCAAATCGAAGCAGAAGAAGTTGTATCGAGCAATCGTCAGGATCAAGTATGAATGTTAATAGTTATTAACAATAAATAAAATAGATGTCGGTTTGTACGTTTAGGAAACTACGAAAGAAGGTGATGAAGAAGATGATGAAAAACCAAAGAAACCTGCTGGCGATGGAAAAGCAAAAAAACTAACAAATCAGTTTAATTTCAGTGAACGAGCGTCTCAAACGTATAATAATCCTTGTCGGGTACATATTTAATCTGTTGTTTTCCATTTTATAATTTGATCTGTTTTTATTTTTAGGAACGAGAAACATTTGTAGAGCAAACACCACGAATGCCATTTTCTGATAATGTTGCACAATGGAGTATTTATGATGCATACAAAGAAGATTTTGATCAACAAGTATATTTCTAATTCATCTGTACGTTGAAAATATATTTCTAGTTTTAATTTAGCAAAAAGTGAAAGAAAAAGAGCATAAAAAGGTTAAAAAGGAAGATGATCGAAAGAAAAAATTTGTTGTTGCTGAACAACAGGTAAAAAGTTTTTTTTCAATAATCAAAGTGTGAAAATTTCACATTGTTTTAAAATAAACAATTTTTTTTTAGAGCGATGATATGGCAAAGTTTGCACGTTCAAAATCAGCTAGTGTTTCATTGAAAATCATGGAAAGAATGATAAATCAGAATACGTTTGATGATATTGCACAGGGTAAGTGAAAAAAAAGTTTTCGATCTAGAGTATGTACATATTGTTTCATTCTACTATTTTTTATTGAAGATTTTAAATATTGGGAGGATGCCGCTGATGAATATCGTGAACAAGAAGGCAGTCTTTTACCACTATGGTTATTTCAATATGATACAGCAAAAAAATTAGCTTGTACAAATTTAGCATGGAATACACATTATACTGATTTATTTGCTGTTGCCTATGGTTCTTGTATGTAGTTTTATTATTCGATTTAATTATTATATATCGTTAAATGTAACATATTTTTTTCTAGATGACTTTTTAAAACAAAGTCGTGGCATGTTTCTAATCTATTCGTTAAAAAATCCAAGTTATCCTGAAAATATATATAGTACTGAAAGTGGTGTAATGTCTCTTGATTTTCATCCAAATCATCCAAATTTATTATGTTGTGGTTTTTATGATGGTTCAGTAGCTGTATACAATATAGCCGATGAAAATAAACGTCCAAAATATCAGAGTACAGCAAGAAATGGAAAACATACCGATCCTGTATGGCAGGTAAGAGTTTTTTAAATGTTTAATAATTAATTAAATTATTGTACGAAAATGTTTAATCACATTATGTAGGTTAGATGGCAAAAAGATGATCTTGATAATAATTTAAATTTTTATTCTGTATCATCCGATGGACGAGTTGTCTGTTGGACACTTGTTAAAGTAAGATGCTGTTAAGAAAATTTTCTCTTCTCTTTAAATAACAAATATCTATTTTAAGAGTGATTTAATGTATACGGATGTTGTACAGCTCAAACTCGACCAGCCAGCAACCGAACCAACTGACGGCATACCACTGGCAGCATTGGGTACCATAGAAACAATATCTGTTAACTTATAATCATTGCTATTAAATATTTAAGGTTGTGGCACATGTTTTGATTTTAACAAACAACAAGATTATTTATTTATCGTTGGTACAGAGGAAGGAAAAATTCATAAATGCTCAAAAGCTTATAATAATCAATTTTTGGATACATTTGATGCACATAATATGGCAGTTTATGCCTGTAGATGGAACACATTTCATCCAAAAATTTTTATTAGTTGTTCAGCTGATTGGACCGTTAAAATTTGGGATATTAATTTCAAGTAAAGCCCATCTAATTTAATAACATTGATCAATATTATTTTGAAATTCAATGTCTTTAATAGAGAGCCATTGTTCGTCTACGATTTGGGCAGTGCTGTAGGTGATGTAATGTGGGCACCATACTCTTCAACAGTTTTTGCCGCGTGTACGGCCGATGGAAAAGTAAGTTGTTTTCATTCACATTTTAATGAATAATCGTCATGTTCCAAAAATTTCAGGTTTATGTATTCGATTTAAATGTAAATAAATATGAACCGATTGCAGAACCAATCGTTGTACAAAAGAAGCGTACGAAATTAACACACATTACATTTAATGAACATTATCCAATTTTATTAGCTGGAGATGATCGTGGCAATGTAATAAGTTTAAAGTTATCACCAAATTTGAGGAAAAAACCTAAAGTCAAAAAAGGACAAGAAATACCTGAGGGTCCGGAAGCAGAAATAGCTAAATTAGAAAAAATTCTTGCGCTCATCCGAGATCCAGATGATACACGAAATAAACAACGATCAAAAGATGATACACACGCGGTAACAACGCAACAAGCAACAACAGTAGCTGTCGCTTAATATTATAATTAATTTAATTTTTAAACTTTTTCGATGTATTTTTTGTTTAGTTCTTTTAACAAAAGTCAAAATTACTCTCGTCTTTTTACTGTCAAATGTTTATTGTATCAATATGATATTCACATGTAGATCGGAGAAGTTGAAATAAAAACTTTCTCGATCCACTCTAATAAATACAGAAGTAGAGTAAGTTAGTTCTAAAAAACTGTTGATTCATAAATCGGATCAGAAGTTTAATCTGTATCAATATATGTTTTACTAATGCTCTTATTGAATTTATGTTTTATATAAAGAATGGCTTTACATAAAGTACAATCAATACACAATTAAGAAGACAAAATTTTGATGTGATAGTATTTTAGTTAGCTTACACAACAAATATGAGTGAGGTACGCATTGTTATTTTGAATAGGTGATAATGTAACATATTGAAATTTTAATTTACAGGATCTTGTAAGTAGTTATTACAGGAGAAAATGCTAAAATGTACTTATATTTTGTACTTTATCGCTCTATGATTTGGCAGTTTGCTTTTAATTATATCATAAGTGAGATATCTCATTTTTCTCTAAGAAAAAATGAAGATACATTAATCAACTCTTTGTCGTTTAGTTAGGAACCGATAATCAAGTTCGGTTCGTTCCTACGGACATTGATGAAGACAAAGAGCTTATCGATGAAACAGAAAAGCAGCCTTATACCGTAAGATATATATATATATATGAATCACGTATCCACTGAAGAGTTTAAAAGTCTGATATTTATTTAAATCGAACGATTTATACATCTTTTAAACTTTAATCAAAATTCAAAATATTTACAAATGGTCGGAGTTTAAATTATAAATCGATTCGAAAATTTAGAGTTGTTTTAAAAAGACTAAAATAACTAATGGCAGGTTTTCTTTTCTTTTGCAATAAATGCATATTATACTCAGGGTGCCCAAATTCAGTTTTGTGAAATCTGTAGTTTTTTTCTAAAAAATCAGGAGGAAAATCAGGAGATATTTTTTTCGAAATCAGGAGACAAGAGAGTACCAGGCAGTTTTTTTCTTAGACAAAACCAAAAATTCAATAACTTTTTTAAAAATAGTTTCGTTAAGAAAATTTATTTTTAGTATTTTTTGATGAAACAGTCTTATCATTTGTTGCAGACCACAGTACGGATTGAGGAAGAAGATTTTGATCCGATGCGTTTGAAAGTTCACTAATCTCATCTTCTTGTGATGAGAACATTCGATAAGCACACAACGGACTCTTTAAATGTACAAAATTATTTAGATTCGTGATCCACAAATTCTGTTTCTCAAACTGATAATCTCAGTTTTGGAAAAAATCAAATCGATGCAGCAAAACAATTGAAAGTCAGAAGAAATCAGGAGAAAATCTTAAAAATGAGCTCCTGAAATCAGGAAAATTTTCATCTGGAGAAAAGTCTAAAAACAGGAGACTCCTGGTCTAATCAGAAGATTTGGGCGCTCTGATTATACTACTAATAGCATGTGGATTATAACGACGTTGAATTACGTTGTTGAGGTACTTCCATAAAAAACCGTCCGCTTTATATACAGGTGGAAGCTGGGATGCGCTTACTATACGTAGACCCATGTCAAACATTTGGATTGCATACTACTGCTGAACCGCAGTTCTCAAAAATACTATCGGCTATCACGGTATAATCTGGAACAGCTCGATATACCGCCAATAACCGAGCGGTATTCTACACACATTGGTGCGAAGAAGATCGCTCGGTACACATTCAGAGTTATTCACCTTTTTGTTTTCGTGGTTAGTGGAGTATATAACAATGAAAAGAAATTAAAAGATTTCTAACTTTTCTTTCATAGACTCGTCGAAGTACATGAACCTTTTGAATTGAGTACTATCTCACTGTCCGTCGTGAATAGTTCTGAATGAATAGTTAGAGACAAACTGAACTTTAAATCATGTTTAGATATGAAGAATTACTTAAAATTCATTGTTACTTTTCATTCCTAGAAGCATAAAATAGATTTACATCACTACGTCCTATTACTTGTGAAATGCTACCCGAATAAAAAAGTTTCTGGTCAAATGTAAACGCTGGTGACAATGTATCAAATTATTTCTGATACAGTTCAGTTCTAATGACTAATACTGACATCGACATTTTCGATAACCACCGGTCTTAGTGTCAACATCATCAAAATATTCCCGATATCACGACGATTTCGACCGGTTGTTGAATAGCTGTTATATTAACTATTGTCGAACCAAAAAAATTTTACAGAAATTTATTGACTTTCGACTTTTATTATTTACTTTTAAACTCTTCACGGCATGTGCCTCAATGGTAACATTTTCTGTTGACATTTGTAGACCAAGGTACCGAGTGTTCTGTTAGCGAAAGAACATTTAGTAAGAAGTAGTGGAGTATATAACAATGAAAAGAAATTAAAAGATTTCTAACTTTTCTTTCATAGACTCGTCGAAGTACATGAACCTTTTGAATTGAGTACTATCTCACTGTCCGTCGTGAATAGTTCTGAATGAATAGTTAGAGACAAACTGAACTTTAAATCATGTTTAGATATGAAGAATTACTTAAAATTCATTGTTACTTTTCATTCCTAGAAGCATAAAATAGATTTACATCACTACGTCCTATTACTTGTGAAATGCTACCCGAATAAAAAAGTTTCTGGTCAAATGTAAACGCTGGTGACAATGTATCAAATTATTTCTGATACAGTTCAGTTCTAATGACTAATACTGACATCGACATTTTCGATAACCACCGGTCTTAGTGTCAACATCATCAAAATATTCCCGATATCACGACGATTTCGACCGGTTGTTGAATAGCTGTTATATTAACTATTGTCGAACCAAAAAAATTTTACAGAAATTTATTGACTTTCGACTTTTATTATTTACTTTTAAACTCTTCACGGCATGTGCCTCAATGGTAACATTTTCTGTTGACATTTGTAGACCAAGGTACCGAGTGTTCTGTTAGCGAAAGAACATTTAGTAAGAAAAAGTTAAATCAGCTCATATGACACTTGTTAATGTATATGAGTATTTCCCAAGGAGCTTGACGAAGCATTTACAAAAATATTGACATCAGAAAATCCTCATGGACCAAAGAATCTTGTGTTATGGAGTAATCGAGTAAGTACAACAAATGCATTTGATATATGTACAAACAACATATTCAAATATAATTAGGAAAAACAATTTGTTTCTCATGTCAATACAGAACAACTGGCTATTCATTATTTGTAAGCGTTACTCATTTATTAGTCATCATTTTTGAGTTCAATATCGTGTGCTCATTTATAGTATTTGAATGATTTAGATATCATGGTAATTTAATATCGATTAATTCCGATGAAGCTAAACCATATTTGATTCGAGAAAAAGGTATTATTTAGAAAATTATTTGATTATCGCTGACTTATAAGGAGTAAACATTTCTTATTATCAGAAGTATTTGAAACCAACGTACAAACAAGACTCATTTAATGAAAGCGTGTTGGAAGAAATATCTATACGAAACAAACACATTCAATTCTTTCATTTTAGTTATGACAAAAATTCGTCCTATAAATTTGTTGAATCCTTCTACTACGAAGAATAATGATTCAGAAAAATATCGTATTTTAACAGTTGATACTCAAAAAGGTTAGAACTGAGATAATTTAGTTGTACGATTGCTTTTCTATGAAAATTATTTATCCGTAATAGATGAATATGATGTATTGAATGATGCTAAACAAGAAGACGATAATGAAAAAAAGATTTTAGATAGTGAACGAGTAACGCTTCATGATGTGGAGGATACGTTTATTAATGAAGAAACTGGAAATCAAATTCAAGTAAACTGTCTCTTTCAATAGTTATCAGCTGTTAGATGAAAATTTTTAATTTTCAAAAGATCGAAGAAGAGACTACAACAAAAGATCAAGCGTCATATTTACCATCAAAGCCAAAAAAAATTTTAAATCGTTTTAATTATTGTGAACAAGGTGTCCAAACATATTCATCACCAAAAAAAGTAATAAACATAAAATAATATTGTGTGATACGATAAAATAAGCGAGTTAAATTTTAGGAAGCATTAATCTTAACTGATCCAATTCCACAGATTAAGTTTGTTGGTTTAGCGAGTCAGCGAGTTATTTATCAAGATTATGCGGCTGATTATGATAAACAGGTAATATTTCGAGTCAACTATTAATAAACGTCAGTTTCTCTTTCTCATATTTTCAGGAAAAAACAAAAGTAAAACACCAAAATATATCAAAGTATACCACATTACGTCGCGAAACGGAAAAGATAAATTCCAAATTGGATCGCTTAAAACCAGAGGTACGATGCACAAACAAGCAAACACTTTGATATATACGAGAATAAATTTCAACGTTATAATTAGGTTATAAATAAACGTCGTCATGTTCAGACTTTAAAAATAATTGAACGTGTATTAAATCAAAATCGTTATTATGAACTGATTTATGGTAGGAAATTATCTTTTTTGCATATTTAGATGTAATAGAATATATTTTTTATTAAGATTTTAAATATTACTATGATAAAGCTGATGAAACTCGTGCTCCTTTAGGAGCCCTGTTTCCACTATGGAAATTTCCACCATCCTTTAGTGAACGAAGTGTAACAGCATTAACATGGAATCCAGCCTATTCGGATATGCTTGTTATTGGCTATGGACTTTGTAAGTTAAGGTTCTCTGATACGCAATCAAGTATTGTTAGTGTTGTTCCTATTTAGACAATCGAGCCGAACGTATTCAAGGCGTTATTGCCACGTTAACATTAAATAATAGTTTCCCGGAAACATTAATTTATACGGATAGTACAGTGTTATCAATTGATTGTCTGCCGACAAAACCGTATGTTGTCAGTTTTGTCACTGTATGCGTTCAAATGATTGACAGATTGTCTAGATATTTGGTATGTGTTGGGTTGATGGATGGTGATGTGATTGTTTATGACATATCAGTATCATCTGGAAAACCATTGTTTACAAATCCACATTATACATGTAAACATTTTGGACCTGTTTGGCAGGTGAAATGGTGTGCAACAGATGATCCACATTATCCGCGATTTTGTTCAGCTGGTGGTGATGGAAAAGTGATGAGATGGACTTGCATTAAAGTAAAATTATCCT